CGAGCCGGTCCAATCGAAGGTCAACTTTAGACCTTCACCATTTCCCCCTTCCGGTCTCTTCGAGACAAATCGCGGCCCCGGCCTGCAGAGTGCTGGTGTCCTGCGCCATCCAACGCATGATCGCAACCATACTAGTCGTCAGAGCGATCGCATGAGCACAGGCCCCGTCGATATAGCTGAGGCGTAAGTAGCCCCAGTTTCATCGTTGCCTTATTAACCTTTTTTATACCTTTTCCGCATTTTGAGTGTCATTCTTTCTTGTTTTATTATTTACGGTCTAATGTTAGCTCCATTTACAATATGTCCTCAGTAGCTGAATACTAAGTTTGTAGTCAATATTTTGGCTTACAGAATCCGGTTTATTTTATAAATATGACCATTTGCGGAAATTCTCGTTGTAAATATCAAAAGATAAATTGCGGAGCATACATTTGCATTCGATATATTCTCGTTAGGCCTGTACACTTATATAGTAATTAAATGAATAGACTAAGCAGGTTGGTGGAAAGAAGCAATGCTGTTGCACGTGAATTAGTTTTAGGTGATATTAGACTTTCGTAGCATCTATCACACTCTCTCCTCTCTCACCCACCTGTGTCCGGCATCCTCATTCTCTCCAACCATATTATAGTTCTAGCCAATAAAGCCTTATTTGATGACGGAGAACATTCGCCATTTCTTAATGCCCCCGTGACTTGTGATCTTTTTCTGGGGAACCAAATAGCTAGATTACTTTTCAGCCACGTTTGAAGGCATTGGCGTTGCGTGGCCTGCGACCGCTTATTCTTCAGTTCGAGAGCGCCTACTTGAGAGCTGTCTTTTGCTGAAAATCTTCTACTAGCAGACATCTGTGGGCGCGCTAGGTAGCTCGTGGACAGACTTAAGATTCTAAAGAGCAGAAGGGCATGCGTCGATCAGGTGAACCTCTCTCAACAACCTTTTTGCGTCTTCATATGAAGGATCCGTGAACAGGCGACCGCCACCTATCAAGTAACAAAACTGTGCAGCAAATTTTATACCGGGGTTAAATTAACAGTCTCTGTAACTTTTCTGGTCTTCTTTTGACTCTATCCTGTCTTAAACACACTTGGAAGAAACGCTACGAAAAGCGCAATCACCCATTACTTATCACACCAGAAATTCGTGGAGGACAATTGTATGTGCCGGCGATTCGTGAGCTTAATCAAAATTTACTGTCAAATCGCTCGAACAAAACGGTTGAGAGGTGTTTGCATCTCGTTTACCTGAAATAATGCCTGATCTATTCGACCTTGACTATTTCACTGCAAACCCTGGCGTCCGAGAGGTCTGTGTCGTATTTGAGTAAGATAGATTTAACACTATTAAAAGTACTCCACAACCGCCTGGCATTTTGGACAGCGCAACGTTTTCTTTTATCTCCCAACTTAATCGTGCTGAGTTTGTCCCCCTGCCAGTGTAGTCTCGCTGAAAGCAGTTTGCCGTTGCGTAGGTGCAGTCTAAAGCAGAGCGTTGAAGAGCAAAGTCCTACTCGACGAATCTTCACCTCATGAACTTTACAACCTTTTGAGAGGTTCGGTGCTATCGATTTTTCGTCTATCTCAACTCCTTTATGCTACCAACTGACTGATGTCGGCCTACACCACGCCACGTACAATTCTCATACAATGTGTTCTGTGGAAGTTTCTGTGGTTTGACCGCGAGTTCTAGCAAAAGACAGCGACCAGAGTATATGAAGCTTTTTGGTTGCAAAGTTTGGTGTAGCCGCGTTACTGACCTGAGGAAAATCGACACTTCTGACAACTGCTGAATATGGAAAATACTGCGGAATCTGTTCAAGGATTATATTTCGAAGGTAGATCTCTGCCAGTGGTGAAGTAAAAGGTCGCCATCTCAGATCACCCAGTCGTGTAGTCTGTGGGTACCAGGAGAAGCTCGTCCACCACTCCATCACGCCAACTTCCTGTTCGATTTGGCGCGCCATCGGCGTGTTGGCCTGCTGAGGAACTGGGCGCTGTTTAAGGCAAACCTGACGAATGTGTGTTGGATCCGATGGTCTTCTGTTTTTGAGAATATAATTTCAATTGAAGAACAATTGCTGTGGGCCTAGTCATCCGGTAGCGGAGCATGGCCTGCACTATTTCATAATGCCGTAAATTCTGGAGCCAGTCTGGCCAGTTTTGGTGTTATCTGGCAAAAATACCAGCTTGCGAGTTTTTATCTCTCGAACTGAAGAACCTACAAATGAATCTTGAGAGTGTGTACCCAGCCAGATGGTTACCTATTGGTTAATCACGAATTTGTACTACAAACTGACACAGAAGGGTTAACTGATATCATCGTAGAGCATAACTGGGTAGCCCTACAGTAACCGTCAGCGGGACCTAACTGAAAAACGATTTACTACATACTCAACATTCGAGCCCACACAAAACGCCTGAATCCAAGGTTGCGTTAAAAAAGGGAGGATTCACAATGTCTCTTGAAGTCTCAGTACTGCCTATTCGTTTTAAATTTTATGCACATTGTGCCTCCTAAACTTCCATTTACTAAGAGGAGTAGGGCATGTTGAACACGCAGCAGCGTCATAAATGAATTAGCTTCTATCCCAGGCACAGTCTGAGCTAGTGGACAATTTCCCGTCTCAGCATGGTCCAACTGATAGCTCTTTTCTCATGGGCGTGAATTCACAAACTAGATGATTGAAACGTCCAGAGTTGGTAACGTTTTTGCAGTCTAACACGGCAATGCCGGTAAGTTTGTTATGGTGCACACAAGTAAAGCCGGGATAGACAGTCGATCTTGGCCATGTCAAGTGTAGGACTCGACGAATTTATCCGGTGACCATGTGGCAGACGTGTCTTGGTTTGCCGACATCCTATAAGCAACGAAATTTCTTCCATGCCTGCTTGATGATCTGTTTTCACAAAGTGGATCATTACAGCGCGCGAGATAAGCCTAGTCCAGCGAAACAACGTTCACTTTT